AACAGTACCACAAGTCTTTTGGTTCAACAGGAACTTGCATGAGAACAGTAACATGTGAAGGAATTCTGGGACAAAGCAGCCTTTCTTTTGATACACAGGGTATTAAATGACTTTTAGAGTACTCTCGCTCTGGTTCTTACCAAATTCCCTAACTTCAGGCCCTTGCTCTCCAGTTCTTAGCAAACCTCAGTTGTAAGAAACTCTCGGGAAGAGCTGCTGAAGAATAACAATTTAGTCATAAATTTGGAAATGATCACAAAAATATAAAAGTCAACTTGAACACTAGCATTGTAAACATTTAACAAAGTCTGTAGCTGGACACCAGTGGCTCATACCTGTAATCCCAGCTACTCAGGAGGCAGAGATCAGGAGGATCTCAGTTCAAAGCGCCCAGGCCAAAAGTTCACAAGACCATATCTTTGAAAAACCCTTCACAAAAATAGACTGATGGGAGTGGCTCAAGGTGAAGGCCCTGAGTTCAAGACCCAGTACCAGCCAAAAAAAGGAAAAAAAGAAAGTCTATGGTAAACAAACTATTAGCGTGTGTAACCCAAAAATCTCAAATTTATTTGAGGTCAGAATCTCTTCTTTTTGGCTCTGGGGATTGAACCCAGGCTTCCTGCAGAGCTCTACCACTCAGCTACAACCTCAGAATCTTGTTTCAAAAAGTAAACTATTGACCCAACACAGTGGTGCACACCAGTAATCCCATCTACATGACAGGTAGAGCATGCTGAGGTTGTTGTCAGCAAAAAGTCAGACACCACTACCCCTTCCCCAAGCTGAGAATGGTGCCCTGTCCCGAAAATACCAACTAGGCAGTAGGTAGGATAGAAGCCCTGCCTGAAAAATAACTGAAGCAAAAAGGACTGGGGACATGGTTCAAGAGGATGGCACCTTCCTAGCAAGTGCAATGTCCTGAGTTCAAGCAGCCATACTGCCAAGAATAAATAAAATATTATCATTCCTTAGAGCCTGATTTTGGAACTATTGGTCCAGATAATTCTAAAGGTTATGAATGGATCAAATGACTTATTCTGAGAGTTTTATTATTGTCCCTGTATTGAAGAACATTTTTGTGCAAAAGATGTTGTCAACTGGATCACATCTCTTTTATACGGGCCCATGAGGAATTGTTCCTCTCAGGCCTCATTACTAGAAAATGCTATGAACTGGCATTTGCCAGAACTGTCTTGTTTTTATGGCAGGATTAGAAACACACTGGAACTGACTTTGTCCTTCCCCAAACTCTCTTGGCTCCTAGGAAGCCCAACATCATCTACAGGACCTTGTCATATGTACTGTTGTACTTTCTTTTGCTTGTGTATTCTTTGTCCTGCTCATTTAGTTTGTCTCACCCTATTGTTCAGGACACTAAACTGCTTTACTATTTCTAACTATATATTGTATATATTAACTCTTTTCTTACAATTTCATATTGATTTCTCCCTCATTTCCCGATTACCCAAAAATGTCAGTGTATTCGCCTTTAAATAAAAATGTTTGTATAAGTCCAGATAAGCCACTAGAAACATACACATTCACGATGCCATCAAACCTGTAATCTTTTAAAATCAGAAAGAACGTTGGGTTTTCCCCCAGTGAACTAATAGCCAAAACGACTTAGTAAAGTGTTTCCTAGAGGAAGAACAATTAACATTCATTTGGCACCAGTAAAATTGCTAGGCACTTAATAATTGCAACTCCATTTTCTAAAAGAAAGCAGGAGGGATCTGCTGTACAGATTCTCCAAAAGGTGAACAAAAAAACTGACCATATTGCAGGATGCACGATGCAGGATGAGTGGGGACAGAGACTTTGTCTAACTTCTTGTCTCAACTTGGATTTCGAGACTGTATCAACTACTCAAGAATATTCTTAAAAATCAGATGAAACGCTAAGAGCGGCGCTGGCAGTGCCTTACACCCTGACCCAGCAAACTTTCCCAGCAGCTTCGGACTCGGGAATACGCACTGAACCAAATGCACACGACTCCAGCAATACCGAAACACAATCGCTTTCTCATTCCCCACCTCTGGGGACAAGGCCATTACTTACAAGAAAAAACTTAAAAACTTAGGGAGTGCCTGCAGGTAACAAGAAGGATCTTTCCAGCTGGTTTTATTCGCATCGCAGCCAAAGGCGCAGTGGCTGCGAGCAGCGGCCCGCTCCCCGCCGCGTGCGCACTTTGAGCAACTCCAGGGGCTGGGGAGCCGGGCCGGGCCGAGCCAGGGTTCGAGCCCCGGGCGCGGCGTGGGGAGACCTGCGCCTGGCCACCCGCCCCGGGCCGGGGTGTCCCCCCGAAGCCCCCCGCACGGCCGAGTCCCGGCGTCCCGCGCGCTCCGGGCCGCGCCGCCCGAGGCGAGGGGCGCGTGGGGGCGGGGCGCGGGCCCTGCGCTCCTCGACGCCGAGGAGGAAGTCGCACTTACCGCGTCGGGCTTCGGAGGCGGCCGGGGGTCACGACCGGACGGAGCGGCCTGGCGGAGGGGCGGGGGGCGGGGGCGCGCGAGGAGAGGATGCTCGGCCCTCGCGCGCCCCCAGCCCCTTCCCCGGCAGCCTCACTCCGGGCTGCGGCCGGCCCGGAGCGAGCCACTGCCCTCCGTCGGGCTGCGCCAGGCCGGGGCGCAAACTCGTCGGGCAGCCCCGGAGCGGGGCAGGCTGACGGGCGGGTGGGGGTCAGCACCGGCTCATCCCTCAGTCCCGGCGCGGCGAGAGCGGCCGCCAGCCCCGCCCCTCCCTCCAGGCCACGCCCACCTACTAGACCACGCCTCCTCTAGGCCGCCCCTCGCGGGCCCGGGAGGCTGCTGCGGATGCGGGGTGGGCGGTGTCTTTTCCCCCAGCCTGGTGCGTGGGACTAGCCGGAACCTCGGGAAGTGGGGGGAGGGGGGGAGAGACGAGAGAGGCGCCAGCTGCGTGTTTTGGGCTCCCGGGGGACAGGGGACGACAGGCTGGGCAGGGCTTTGGCGGACCTAACAAAGACTCCTGTTGTCCCCAGCTGCTTGGAACTGGGATCAGGGAATTCCTGGGGGTGAAGTTTAGGAAGAGGTCTCTGCCGGGCTGGAAGTTGATCAGAGAACGGACCGACCGTGTTGTCAGCTTTGAGTGACAGAGTTGCCTCTCTTCGCCAGCCCTGTAACCTTTCCTCTTGCAATAATCTTGATAATAATTGTGCTTTAGGTAGTGAATTTGTGACATCGCAATTATGATCATCAACACTGACCACATCGTGGTTTTCCAATGGTGGGGTACCAAGAATCCGAAAAGGTCGGTTTTTATTTAGTCCTGTAGCAGTGCTGAGAATAACAATAACTAATTTACCTAACGCCTATATGCCAAACACTAATCTAAAACACTTTATATGTGTTACCTCATAATTAGGTTGAGCAGACAGCATCATGGTTCCTGTTCCTGGGGAGCTTAGGGTGGATGAAGGAGCGAGGAGGCTTCCATTCTTCCCTCCTAGTCTCAGTGTTATGTAAAGGAAGTGCTCACGTGCATTTAGTTCTCAAAGTAAATCACAAGTCCATATCTTGTAGATTTGGTATTTGCTACTCTGACAACTCTGACAGCTGTTATGCTGTTCCTAATGGTTGAATGTGGCTCAGGAGGTCTCCATAATAAAAAAAACCCAGTGCAAAGCAAGTGGTCCTGGAGACTGATAATTGAATAGCATAACCAAATTGTGGTATCAGCCTATGGTGGCTAGGAGATCTATTTAGGTATATTTGTGCACTCCCTTTGGGGAAAGTGGTTAGAAAAGGCAACATAGTATAAAACCATGAAGCATTGACTTGGACTGCTAGCCCAAATGGAAGAGGATGTGACAATTTGATAGTGTTACAGTTGTAAAAGAGATACACCACAAACTTCCAAGGTTGGCTACAACCACAATGCATAGGGTGCAGTTTTTTATCAGAGCCACGTGGAGAAGACACTGTCCCCCATACAATGACACCCACACACATAAAGATCACTCCAATAGCATTGTCTCTTTAAGTACAAAAGACAGTTGTGTAAACCCATAGTCTGTTTTTTTTTTTTTTTTCCAAAGAAATCTGCAGGTATTTAAATGTTTGGGATTCTGAGTTGCTCCAGACAGACAGTACAGTAAGAAACGGGCTAGTGGGAGACCTAACTTTGGGTGGTACAGAAACAGGTCAGTGAACTCCTCAACAGAGACGGGTTTTGCACAATGTGCCTAATATAGTAACAAGGTAGTCCCATTTCTGGAGAATATGACACAGGGTCATGTCTATCTTGCATATTTATAAAAATTCTGGGTTTTTTTGTAGGTGGGGACTGGAGTTTGGACTTGGGGCTTAGAACTTGCTAGGCAGGCACTCTACCACTTGAGCCATAGCCCTAGCTTTTCTCTTGCTTTAGTAATTTTTCAGATAGGGTCCCATGTTTTTTGCCTGGGCTGGCCTTGACTGTGATCCTTTTACCTCCACTTCCTATGTAACGGGGATGACAGGTGTGCACCAGCACTCCCAGCCTGTTTGTAGAGATGAAGGTCTTGATAACTTTTGCCTGGGCTGGACTTGAACCATGATCCTCCTGGTCTCTGCCACCCAGATAGGTGGGACTGTAGGTGTGAGAACTGCGTCTGACATATTTATGAAAATTGTATAATGAAGATATGATACCAGCACAGGTGATTATCTCAAAGCCTTGGTCAATTTAAGGGCACAGTGTTAAGTACCACAAGCCACACCTCTCTGTGTCTGAGGGTATTTCCTATACGTTTGTTAAGTGCAAAAACTTTCCCCTGCATGGTGGTCTTGTTCCCTTAGGTCTTGCAACCCCACCCCTCTCCTAAGCCCCTTTTTTTTTTATAGGACTTAGCAGCATGCTGGCAGAAGTACAGCTCTACAACTCAAAGTTGGGTTCACATAGAAGAGATACAAGTAACCACAAGCCCTCGAGTCACCCACGCAAGGAAACTGCTCGGCTTTGGTCTAAATGACTTACATTTTTCCTCGCCTGAATTAGCCCGGTAATTGCATGTGGGCAGACTTAGCCAGAATGGTCTAAATGATCAATTAGAACGCAAAAAGGAGTTCCTTTCTTTAAAGTTCAAGGGTCCCTGTTGAAGAGCCCTACTTCCCAAGTGATGCTCACATGGGCCTGCACCCAGCTCTCTGCTGTGCCTGAGTATATTGTACGTTTGCCTAGCGATAATGAAATTGAGTACTTATTTTGCAGGAAAATATAGGGCATTTCCATTACATGCAATCAAGCAAAAAGGCTGCAAAATGTGCCACTCCATTAATTCTAAACAGAATCCTTCCCAAATGTCACCCTGAAACCAGAGTATGGGGTTATTATAAATCTGAAGGAATTAAGAGTAATTTTCATTTACACAAAGGATTCTGAGGACATGACTCCTGCCATACACACACACACACACACACACACACACACACACACACACACACAATTAATTGCCAATTTCAGTGTGAATCACCAAGCCCTGACCTAGCCTGCCCCAGCAGCGAGATCAGTGCTTTCTGTCTTTGAGGCCACAGGTGTGCTTGGGCAATGTGTGCACATATACACTGTAGAATGCGCAAAGAGTAGTGGTGGAGTTGTGACTCAAGTGGTAAAGCACTTACCTAGGGTGTGCAAAGAATGGAGTGTAACTGACTTGTTATTAACAACCAGGTTGTTCAAAGAGGAAAAACAAGCTGGGTGTGGAGGTGTACACCTATAATCTCAGCATTTGGGAGGCTGAGGCAGGAGGATCCTGAGTATGAGGCCAGCTTTGGCTACACAGTGAGACCCTGTATTAAAAAAACAAAAAAAGTAAAACAAATACCAACTTCTGGCAAGTCATCCGATCTCTGAGACTCAGTTTCCTCATCTATAAAGGGGACATGTACTTCTGTGGAGTTGTGATGGTTAATGAACTTGAGTATGACAGAGCCCTGAGTGCAGTGCCTGGCATCATTGATACTCATCACTGGTAACTGTGATCTTTAGGTACATATTCTGGGGACTCTCTCGTTCTTTGAAGAGGGGAACCTGAACCTGCACCTGGATAGGACACTTTTCCCAGGTTACCTCAGGGCCTGGGAGATGTGGGTCAGCCCACTGAATTACTGGTATTTCCTTTCTGATGTTAATTCCCACTATGTCTGGGCTGATGCTGGGCTTGTGGGAGAGCACAGAGTAGGAGATAGGGACAAGCAGGGCAAGGAGGTCCGGAGGCTGTTCAGTTTGCCTTCAGTGAGAGCAGCTGGGCTGCAGGGGTTCCAGCCCTCACTCCACATTTCGATACTTGGTAAAGAGGTTGTACAGCACTCGCAGCGTGGACTTCAGGTCACAGTTGACAATATCTTCTGGCCGTGGTTTTGGCTTTTCCAACCCTCCATCTTGCATGAGCTCAAAGGCAAAGGAGACGTTCAAGACCTTCTGTTCAAAGCTGTCTGGGGTCAGGAAGAAACTATGCAGGGGTACAAAGTAGCCTTCCAGGAGCCCCATGAGCAGCACCAGGTACACCCCATCTGCAAACTGGGTTTCCAGTTCTGTGACCTCCAGGTTCAGTTTATTCAGGTGCTTGTTCACGAAAGTGATGAGTGTCTTTTTCACTACATTGAGTTTATCTGGAGCATGGTCGAACAAGGTATCAAAGGCATCACGTTCATGCCTTCCGGACAGAGCCTCTGTGTTACCAGTTATTTCCTCTTGGATTTGCCGAGACTGGAGGATTCCTTCTCGTTTCTGGACCACAACCACTTGGATGGAAACATGGTCTGGGAGTCGGATTGGTGCACGGAAATACTGAGACAGAGCAACCAACAGGTGCAAGATGGCCACCAGGCTCTTGGCGTGAACAGAGTCCACATTCCACTTGATGCTCCTGGGAGGAAGTTTCAGAGTTTCGTTGATCTTCTCCAGGACAGTCTGCAGTTTTTGCTTCTGAGCAATCTCTGATTGGGTGACCTCAGCAACATTTAGCTTCTCGCTCTCAAGTTTCTCAAAGAGCTTCTGCAGCACTTGTCCGTCATATAAATCTTCAGCCAGGTCTTTCACAATGATTCTTTCTCCAACCAACACGTCATTAATCCAGTCGATCAATACCTTCATCAGTTCTTGAAGTTTTGGGTCACTGCGTGAGTTGGGATCCACCATGGTCCGCACTTCATTCTCCTCTAGCATGGTGTCCTCAGGGTCCAGTTCAAAGGGGATGGGGCTAAGGGGCAGGTTGATGGCATTCATTCCCTCCTCCTGGAGCTCCGATACGGATAACGTTGCAGAAAAAAGATTCAGCAAATCCTGGAAACGACCTGATTTCAAAGACCAATGAAGGCAAAGAGGGAGAGTGACGGCGCCCAGAAAAGTTTCAGCAGAAACTAGGAAATGCCAGCCTCGGGCGCGGAGGGGCGGGGACACCGGCCTGTTGGAGTGCGCTGCTCAGGGGCCGGGCCCGGCCGGGTCTGGTCTGGGCCTGGCTCCGGGTCCCGCGCCTCCCGAAGCCACGCGGCGCTGCCCATGCCCAGCGGGGGCGTCCGCCTGGTCCCGGCCCAGGACAGCGGCGCAGGGGCGGCCGCGCGGCCTCGATGGCCCGACGGCCCAGGGCGCAGGGTCACAGGGCCGCAGTGCGGGCGCGCCCGGCTCCCGCCCCGGCTTCAGGAAAGCGCGCCCATAGTCTGAATTTTGGAATTTGCCACTACTTTTCAGCCCTCATTGCCTTTTTGGTGTTAACATTTATGCACACTGTTCACATTAACAGCAAATAACTTGCTCATTGTTTCTTCTGTTTATAGCTAACTTGTTCAGTTTTGGAGTTTAATTTTTTTTTTGGGTGATAATGAGAGAAAAACTAGAAAAGCATTGCAATCAAAGCAGATTGCAAATGTGAAAAGTCAATACTAATTTAAGATGTCGGAATTCCCATATGTAGATCTCCTTTTTTCCATGTTAAATTTATTTATTTATTTATTTATTTTTGTGGCACTGGGGTTTGAACTCAGGGCCTCACGCTTGCTAGGTAGGTGCTCTTACAGCTTGAGCCACTCTACCAGCCTTTGTTTGTTCTTTTCTGATAGCAATTCTATTTCACTTACTAATCTCCATCACCCCAATAAAAGCAATCAAGTCATCCCTTGTGATCTGGCTCCCAGGAGTCCCCTCACTTGCTCCCTTTCATGCTGTCCCTCACACTAGACTATTTCCTCTTCTGTCTCCTTATCAAGCACTTGCTGGTCAAGCCTCTGTATGTCCCTTTATCTGGCAGGCTCTTGGCTAGTCACACAACTGGCTTCCTCTGCCTTGTCACCTTTCTTGGCTCACCTTGGAAACCTGCAATCCCTGCCCCTATCGCCTCAGTTCTCAGCACTAAGAACCACTCAGAATAACCTTTGATTCTCTCTCTCTCTCTCTCTCTCTTAAAACTTATTCTTCTTTCTTTAAAGTTTTGTGAATTTTTGTTTGATATATCTTTGATTATCTATTGTCATGAGAGCAGAAATTTCTATTTAGTTCACTGTCACATCCCAAGTGTGTTATTTACCATGTCTGTCATAGAGTATATACTCTATAAATATTTTGAATGAATGAATGACTATGGATAAGAGAGAAAGCTTGTATGCCTTCTTATAATGGCCAAAGGCTTTCATACGATTTATCTATGAGTCATATGACTTAAATATAGTAATAAATTCTAAAATACACCCCAGTTTTACTCTATTTAAGTTAAATTTGAAAAGCTGTTTTTAATCTCTCATTTGGCAATACTAAGCAATACTAGTATTTGAAGAACAGTTACAGCTGAGAATTTATACCGAGATCTTACACCTTGGTCATAAGTGTATCCATAGAATCAAAGAGAAACGATAGGTAATGCTTTGAAAGTCTTAGTATTTGTCCCTGGAAGAACACGACATTGTAGTGCTCTGAACTGGAATAATTGAACAGAAAACCTTATTATTGATAACTTGACAGATGTTGTTAGTACAATGTCCTTTGTAAGTGCTCAAATAATTTTAAATGACAGTAGTCACAATAGGTTAACAATTGTTGGGGCTCAGAAAATGATACTCTAAAATGTAGGCCTCAGAAGCAGTTCCTCTCAGACCTTGTCCTGCCTTCCCATCTTTCACCCTCAGTCTCCTCCAAAACAAGCCAGAGAAGTGGAATTCCCTTCCCCAGGGCGGGGTCATAGAAACCAGAACTCCTTATCTGCAGAGTTGGCCATAGAGCCAAAAATTATTATTGTAACTACCTTTCTGTGTAAGCTTTGAACATGAGGAAATTCTCTGACCTTCCTAGTTTAATTTTGTTCACAAGAACCTCATTCCACAGTGTCCCCATGTCTTGGGGGAAGAAATGCTACAACTGAGGTTGGAAGAACCTGAACAGATGGGCCTTGCTTGTTCTCTCCCTTCGGTCTGGTTCTATCAGATCAGACCTTTTTGTCCAGTCACATCTCTACACAGCTGTCCCTACCTCATCAAGTCAACCATAAAATCAAATTGTTTCCCCTGTATCTTTGGATTTTTCATCTGGAAGTTGCCTATGTCATATAAACCTATGATCACATAAATTTGTTATGGAATCAGATGGTGCTGCATGCCTGTTATATTAGTTATTCAGGAGGTAGAGCTGGGAAGATAGCAGTTAGAGGCCAGCCTGGCCAAAAAAAGTGAGACCCTAGTTCAAAAAGCAAGCTGGGCATGGTAGAATATGGCAGTAATCCCAGCTACCTAGTAGAGGTAGAAGGATGTGGTCTGAGGTCAGCCCCAGGTAACAGCAAGACCCTACCTAAAAAATAAAGTGAAAATGAGCTAAAGCAATAAGCTGGGGCATGGCTCAAGCGGTAGAGCAAGTGTCTAGTAAGCTCTCAGTTCAAACCCCAGTACCACCGATGAGTGAATGACTAAAATAAAATTAATCATGTAAGCATTCTCTTGTTAACTTGTCTTTTGCTATAGGGGTATCAGCCATGACCCTTATGGTGGGCAGGAAAGGGACTTTTCCAGCCTATGTAATGGATGTTTTAATCTGCTTAAAGTATAGCACTGATATATATAGTAAGCAGAACTTAACCCTAGTGAGTACAGGCCCACCCTTAAAAAAAATGGTTTGACTTCATTTTCTGCTCTGATTATTGGGTATGTGCAGAAAGAGGATTAAAGATTAAACTGTTTATGTACATATTTATGCTCAAAATCTAGAAATGGGATCGCTTTTAGAAGACTTAGAATTTTGTCTATCAGTATATCTGCTGTCCATGTTTTGACACAAACACCTCAGCCTCATATTAAAACAATGTCACTAACAATGTCACAACAACAACAAAACAAACATATAGAGTTACATAAGAACATATAGAGCTACATAAGGTGTGACAAGGTCATACCCTTGGAAGGAGAATTTCTAGGTCAAAAGACATAGGTGGTCAAGTGTACCCAACCAAACATTTGTCCACCTGAAGTTCTCACTGGAGCTTTATCTCATAATTTGTCCACCACCCCTAAGCCCCCGTGAACTTGGCCCAAATGCCAATTTATTTATTTGTTTATTTATTGTCTTTTCTTTTTTTGGTGCTGGGCTCAAACCCAGGGCCTTGCACATGCTAGGCAAGTGCTCTAAAACTGAGCTACATTCCAGCCCCCAAATACCAGTTTAAAAAACTAAAAAGTTTCCTTGGCACTCTATCATAAACAACCCAATCTAGAATTCTCAAAATGAACTTTTCTAAAATCTAAACGACAATGAAAATGAAGCTACCATGGAAAATAATAACATTAATAACTTCATTTGTTCAGTGACTCTTGTTTCCATCCCCTTAGGAGCAACTTGCCTCCCAAACAGTTAGGTGTAAATTTGCAGGCAGTCTGTCTGGTCTCCTTCCTTTTAGGCTCTTTCTTTCTTGACATGGTAAGATCATTTTTCTGCCTTTCATATGAGACCCATCAAGATTGACATGCTCCATGGGGGCTGGGGAGACTGTGTCAGCCAGATATGACACAGTCCTAGTCAAATTGCAGGACCGTGGTGACTGACACACTGTGTGAGTTCTGTCTTCCAGTGAGATTCACTCTTACACACAGAGGGAAGTCACTACCAGCCCACCGTCAGGCCACTCCTTGCAGTCCCCAAAGCATTCATGTAAGAACTGCCCCACACAGTGAGGGACTTGGGAAGGGTTATGCATTCTCTCATGAACCTGTTTCCAGTCTCCCATCCACAGGTTATAATCAGACCTCACTTCCTCACTGGAAAAAAATACTATGTACACTCCTCATTCTGTGTATCCCTCAGGACCCTGCCCAATATGCTTTAGAGATTCTCTCTGGCCCCCAAGGTCGCTGTGGCATAGTTTAAAGTTCCTCATAATCTAACTCCTGACTATCTCTCCAGTGCTGCTCCCACTCTGAGCTACTTAGAGTGTCTAGAACATATCATTTCCCCAAATTATGTCTTTAAACCTATTTTTTTTCCCATTTGGGATACCTTCTTTTGCAATATCTGCTGACCTTCAAGATTCAACTTCAAGGTCACCTCCTCTGCTAATCTTTATCTAGAATAAAGAATTATCTAGAATTTTCCAGTTCCTCCTCTGTGCTTCCAGTATCCTGGGGGTGGCGGGCGGGGGGGGGGGTCTCTTCGTTGTAGCAATTACTCATTGGGCTGTGAATGATGGCTTACTTATCTGTCTTTCTGTTACTAGTTGAGAGTGCCTGCTATAGGCACTCAGAAATGTTTTATGAGAGAAAAAGAAAGAAAGAAAGAAAGAAAGAAAGAAAGAAAGAAAGAAAGAAAGAAAGAAAGAAAACACACTTGATTTACAAAGCTTGTGTTGTGGGGTATGGGGTGGGTATGGGCTCCCCAGGGTTTTTGTCTTTGCTGGGCTTAGGAATAAGCTCACAAGGCCCAATAGTGTACACACAGGTAAATTTATTAGGAAAAGAAAAGGCTGCAGCTGCAGCAGTGCAGTGGAACCCGGAAACCAGTGGCTCCCTGCTCAGGTGAAGGCTGGGGCTTTTTACGGATGCTTTAACTCTGGGTTAGAGTAAGGGTTAGGTGGGTTCTTTTCATTGGCTGTGGATTTGTGCATGCAGGCTCTCTTTGATGAGTTGGTCTGTTTGCCCCTTATCAGGAGGAATCAGCCTTGAGAGCATCCTATCTATGAGCCCTGTGGCAGATTTATGAGGCCAAGTGTCTCCTCAGGGTGCAGGGCTCATAGTGCTCTCCATGGGGATGGGATACTGATTCACTCATCTGTTCCTTAGTTCCCAGACCCAACACTTGGGAAATACAACTTACTAGAGTATGACCACTCCTCCCTCAGCATTGTAACACATACAGACAGGAACTTTGCTCTAACTTATAGTGCTATACCACTAGTCTCATGAAATTTTGGGTCTTCAGTTTAGTATCCCATAAACTGACAAGGGCAAGGGAATATGACCGTGAAGTACTTGTGTCTATGATTATTCCATCATCTCAATATACCTGCTATATTCTTAAAAAATAACGGTTGCAAGATTACTAATGGATGTTGATCTCTCATGAATTTAAAAAATGTTCCAGGATGCATTTTTGTATTTGATGTATTACTTCCAGGTCACTGTCTAACAGACAGGAAACCACTCAATCTGTATTCTATTTTCATGTTCTCG